CCTAATACTCTGAACCCTGACCAAACTATCTATGTAGACCCTCCACAGCCCTCCCTTTTCCCCTGGCTATATTTCACCCGAAATTATGGTACTTGTAAGCCTTTTCCCATGTTTAGTGCCTTGGGCATTATCCTTTGTGGCTAAGTCTCTGTGTCCATCTGTAACCTGTGCTCTAGTCAGACCGTTTTGCTGCTCATTCTGGTCTATGCGACCTGCCAGGTAAAGTTGCCCTGATTCACAGTTCATTGTAAAGTTGCTCTGACTCACTTGACAATCTCATAATGTAAACTGGACGTATTCTCATAATGGATGCACATGTTCTTACTACTTTGAGAATTTATTAGTCACCACAGATAAAGGAAAATATTTTTAAAGGACTTTATCTCTTAGAAAATCTTATTGTCCCTAACATTACCATTAATACTAAAGCTCTAAATACCAATACTATTAAGTAAGTAATACTACAGAAGATCAGCAATCTGTAAGTATGCATATGTACCTTAATGTATCCTAAGACTCCTTTAACTTTCCCAACAAGTTATTTTGCTGTCATTTTCACTGCAAAGGTAAGGGACAATACTCCACAATTCTGTCAATGTTGCTGAAAGAGCTTCATAATTCACCAGTGAGTCTTATATGGCCCAGAATGAAATAGCGGCACAGTTCAGCAGAAGAAGCACCTGCTAACACAAGGATACAACTGCTTAGAAGGCAGCCTTCCCAAAAAGTGATATCCAGTCACCTTCCCACCCACTGCTCACGACAAGCTATTATTAACAGCAAAGGTGGTGATTCTGTTGATGACTCATTAATTATCCTGATTCATGAAGGCTGAACATAGGCAGGCCTGACTAAGGACATCATTTGCTGGATTTAATCAATTATTGGGCTCATCAAATGTGATTACTGAGCCACACAAAAATCCCAGTGAAGAGGGCATTAGACACTTAGAAAAAAACAACTCCTTGTTTTGCCTTACAATAGAATGCACTCTATTATCTACATGTGCAATATCTGCTTTATTGATTATCTCCACATGTTTGTATCCTGGGATGTGTTCTGCCTGGTGTCTAGAATATTTTTGAGCCATTTTCTCCTTTGGGAAAAGGTCTAAAGAATCAGCAAAACATACACTTTTCAAATAACAGAAAACATGGAGAGAAAAAAAAGAGTAAAAATTCTCAATTATACTATTAGACATTAATGTGCCCATGCTTGAAAGCACCATGAGTAAGAAGCACTACTGTAGGCTCTCTTTGTGATCTAGTGAGAAAAAAGTGTATGATAATGTAAGTATCCTCCCAAAAATGTAAATTATTCCCAATGACCTTCAATACTTAACATCTATTATAGCACTTACCATAGTCTAATTATTTTGTTCACATATATCTCACCTACAAGCCTCTTCACTGGGTCTATTTCTTATATACATCTTTTAATTTCCAGTATTTATTTAAGTGTATAGCAATATTAAATAAAATTTTGTTAAATTGGAAGATATTTGTAAAGTACTATGCATGTGGCTATTAATCTAATTATCAAAAAGATGAAAGACACCTTTGGCTACAGTTAAATGCTCACAGAAATGCTTATATTTACAAAATGAGTAAATCAGATACTGTCAGAACCAGAACTTCTACTCAAGCTATCTAAATAGAGCTAGAATTAATAACAAACAAATCAACAAAAACCTTCATGCCAATAAGAATTTAACTATCTGGTGTAGCTTAAAATGCCAACTCCTGACTAATCATCCCTATCAAAATATTTCCACACTCCAGACAATGAAAACTGGACATGTGTCTGCAGAGGTCCGCCGAGTTTGTGGATATGTCTTCATGTGGCCCTCTGCCTCTGACTGTGCTGACCAGTCACAGCACTCCCTAGTATAATGAAAAAGGGGTGTGTGTGTGTCTGTGTGTTGGAAGCATTTTTAACATAGATTCAGCTTATAACATCACCACTGATAGGGATTTTTTCTTCAGGGGCAGTCCAGAAGAATGAGATTATTTCTAGGTATTTGTGATTAGTTTGTACATTGTCTGGCACGCTGTCTCAAAAATATAAACTTCGCAGAGCCAGACCTGGTAACTCGAAGCTGCAGCTATATTACAACCTGACGAGTATTTTTTGGGGAAGAAGGTTTCCTCTGTAACCCTCTCTAGCTGTCAAATTACCCACTTCACCACATCAACAAATATACTGGGATGCCTGGCCCTGATGGACAGGACTCGTTCACAGGCAAAAGGGTAGTTCCCCTTAATCATGTTGATGTAAAGCCCAACCAGTAAGGTTTTCTGTGCAGGGAAGAGCTTACCCCCTACCTACTGGTGTCTTTGCTAACTCAGTAAAGAGCACTTACCACACTTTCAATTGAAATTCTGGTCTTGGAGGTAATGAGCAGGTTTCTCTTAATGCTAAAAGTGAAACTATAGACTCGTTGTCATCAAAACATTCTCTAAGACTACTAAGATCTGCCTAGAAACTTATGAAATATTTAAAGAAAGATATCTACTTTGGTTGAGCTGTAGTGGGATGATGATCACTTTGGAAGCTAACAGAGTTTTTTCTTTATCATGGCTTTGAACGGTAAATAAATACAGAAGTGAGATGAAATAAAATTTAGCAAAAACAGTTTAAACAAGGGTAGGTTATTTTTATATCCAGGGCTGTCAACCCAAAGCAAACCTACAAGATTTAAAGCTTTTTAATACAACGTTATGTCATTTAGTTTTCCTACGTGAAGCCACCGGCTTTATTTGACTATTAACTAAAGCCAAATAACTGTACTTAGAATTTAACTAACTGGTTGAGTCCATACGACTATGCTTCTCCCAAACATGAAAAATGAATTATGTCTACTACCAGTCCAAATGAATCATCAAGTAGACAAGCATAGGTTCAAACAGACCAGCAACTGACAGGGGTCAAGATCCATGTAAAAGTGTCTACAATTCATCCCATGAGGTGTCCAAATACTCCAAATGTAGAGTTCCCTGGAAAAAGTCCCAAGCAAGATCATTCTGAAAAAGTTGAAGGCTTGATACATGAAGAACGCTTCAAATTCGTTAACACAAGTGTGCGTTGGTGGTATAGTGGTGAGCATAGCTGCCTTCCAAATTCGTTAACACCCTTCCACCCAGAGATGCCATCTACGTCCCCTTCTGTGGAATCTGCTTGGGTTCCATGAGCTTGGCCAATGAGGCACAGCAGAAGTGACACTGCACCAGTTTCTGGGTCCAGGCTGGAATTAAGAGACTAGCATCTTCCACTTCTAGTCTCTCGGCACACAGGGCCTAAGAAGCCAGCTACAAGGCAACTACCATTAGAGCACTGTGCAGCGAGAAGCCCCGGCCCAGGGAGACACCCTGGGGCATGAAAGCCATGTGGGGAGAGAGACAGAAACAAGGAGCACCAGGGCTCACCAAGGAGCAAAGCGGCAGTGTTGCAAGTGGATCCTCCACCTTTACCAGCCCCAATGCACACGAGGTGGGCCAGATTCACACCATCTGGCCGAATCCTTTCTGAATTTCTGACCAATAAAACTATGAGCAAAATACAACACTTATTTTAAGTCATGAGTTTAGGGATGGTTTGTTACTCAATGACAGATTAGTAGACATGGATCATATGCAAATATGTAGGTGATTAAAACAGAAGAGCTCAAACCAGTCCTCTATTAATTTGCACTTTACATGACTTCAGGGAAACGGGTACAAGACAGTCTTTTTTTGTTACATCGACATAATAAAAAATGCAACAGCATTCACATCAGATATGCAAAAATATTCTTGCAAAAACAATCGACATAGTAATTTGAAACTTGACAGGTTTGAGCAGCTTTCTTATAAAACTTCTTCTTACCTATTTATCCCTCCTTAAAATAAAATTGAAGCAACTTTGAAACATCTCATACCCCAGGTTAACTACATGTGAAAATGATAAATGACCTTTTATTACTGAAGACTATTATACCCTTTAATCTGAGTGATTAATTTATATCCTGCTCAGGGGTTCACATGCTATTACCATCATGAGCCCAATGAACCTGAACAAGACAGAATTATTTAGCCATCTGTATAAGCTCACTATATTTAGAAAAGTGTAGCAACCTCTAGGAAGCTTTAAAGTTTCCGTTCATTTTCTCTCAATGATTCATGCACCTCTATATATTGCATAAAAAATTATAGCACCACTACTTTGGATTATTGACTTTATTTGGAAACAGGACATATGCATCTCTGCTATGAGATGCTGTTCCCAGAAAAGCTAAGATTAAAGTGGTCATCTGAAGGTACCAGTGTTGAAACCTACTGGCAGATTTTAATTGCATTACTGATTTTTTATCTGAATGTAATGTTTAAAGCTACATACAATCAATGAAAAGCAGATGCCAGCCTTTCAGACTGCACTGTGGGCCTCTGACACTTGGTGAACAAAAGGTCTAGGCAATTCCATTTCTTTGGAATGTGTTTCCAAACTCTTCAGAGTAATGGAGGGTGATGACAGATGACATTCAACTTTAAGTTTCTCATTCCACAGTTAAATCAAAAGACCATGCCCTTCAAGAAATTTATATATAGGCTTTGTGCTCAACAGCACTTTATCAGGAAGTCAGGCAAAGGAGAACTCAAACACTTAAACATGTATTTAAGGACCCTTTGGTGCTTCCATCCCAAAACCTTCAGCAGCAGCCCATCTCTGGTCAAGGTTTTGGTAAAATCACTAGATAGCCCAGCAGTAACAAGCTTTTTAACCACCAGGTCTACTCTCATATGAAAGTGTATACACTTCCTGCACCATACTCACCACACTAAATGCCTGTAATCAACTCTTAATCATGGCAGCAAAAGGAATCCAAAGACAAAGGAGACAACTCACTGAGAAGGAACCAAGAGAATGTTTATTACAATGAACATATGCCATGGGCCAGACTTTTGAAGTTAATGCCACAGACGATTCAGCCAACCAGCTCCCCTTTCCCAGAAAGACGCTCTTACCTCTGGGATGTTTTCTTATATTTCCTCCTGTAGGAAAAGAAGCATAAACATACATCAGAAAAGGGTTTGTAGCAGGCAGTTAGAAAAAGAAAACATCATCGGGGATGGGCATGAAGGGGAATCCTTCTTAGAAGGGTCTCTCCTCTACATCAGGTTTGCAAGTTTCAAAGCCTAGTTAAAAGTTTTGGATTATTGTGTTCTACTACGGTCAGTTGCATACTATCATAGTCTTAACAGTTACAAATACTAAGAGCAATGGCTCTGTCTCTCTGTGTTCTTCCCCTTCCCCTTTGAGGGCACTGTAGCATTTAGATTGAGGTCAGGCTTTAAAGATAGCAAGATCCAGGTTCAAATTTCAGGCCTTCCATTTACCAGGTTCATGGTGTTGTTGAGGAATAAATGGGCAGAGGCTTGTAAAGCATTCCTTTTGCTAGTACATTCTAAATGGCCATTAACTATGAGCTAGTTAATGATCAGACATAAGGTTCTTCAGAAAAGTAAGAAGTGAGGAGGGGGACAATGAGAAAGTCTAGAATCAAAATGGTGAAAGCAACATTAGGAGCCTGCTAATGGCTCAGGAAGCAGAAGTAGCTGAAGTTCTAGTGATTTACAGTCCTCATTTAGTCTTAGATCAATCTCCTGGGTGTAGGGCTTCTTAATCTATCACATGGAGATAAGATCTGCCTGGCTATACCACCCAGGTCAGAGTGGCATTCAAGGGGCAAATAGCCATAAGTTTATCGTCCCAGTAACCCAAAGTTTTTAATGCTTGTGTCAGTTTTTGTAGACTCTGAAGACCCTCAAAAGAGTTGCAATAGGCTCTATACTGGAGGAGATTCAAAGGAAAGGATGTACTGGGACAGGAAAATTATCTCCTCCAGCATCTCCTGGAAGAGCAATGCTTCCCAGGCGTCCTTAGTTCCACACCTACATCCGCATTACAGTCACTTCATGCAGGAAGCCAAGCCATGATTTGTTAAAAGAGCTGTACCTATGTTACATGTTTTTTAAAAAGGCACAGATGTTTCAAATTCAGAATCACTACAACCTATTATATCTCCGTTCAAATGAAAACATGTATGGCAGTGTTAAGTGTTACATGAAGAAGGCAGTATGTAACACAGAACCTGCAGTATGATCTTGACTAATGTTCCAAAATCTACTTATCTGAAAAGAAACACACCAGAGTGATAACCATGATCCCAGGGTAATGGATTAATGGATCATTTCTTTCACTTTTACTTTTATGAATTTTCCAAATTTTCTTTTAAAAGTGAAACTATGATCTATTAGAAGAAAATTATGTAAATATGCATACACCCATATATACACAGTCACATAGATATATACATGCATAGGACTATATGAATATTATGGGTATTTTCATGTTTGAAATATATCATATAGAGAGAGGAAGGTCAACCCATAGAGTGGGTTAGGACTTGGGCTTTAGAGTATAAACTACCTGGGTTCTGATACTGACTCTGGCACTTAGTCTACAACATGGGACCAGTTATTCAACTGCTCTGAGCCTTGGTTTTGTCACCTATAAAATGGGAAAAATCAGAGCTCCTCTCTAAAGAACTTGTGATGGGAAATACACAAAATAACCCACCTGAATGTCAGTTCCCCAAGGCAGGTTCTTCATGTGGTTTTCCACTGTAACCTAGTGCCTAAAACAGTGCCTTGGAGCCCCTCCCAAAGCTGTGATGGATGCACGTTGACCATCCATGCTCTTGTACTTAGACCCCATTGGCAGTAACAGCTCACACTTTCTAGGCAGTAGCCAAGGACAAAAATTTCATCTAGAGGCACAGAGCACAAAGGGCAGTGGGTGTGACCCATGCCCTTGACCCTTGTTAGGACTGCTGTCTTGTAAACTAGGTTAAGGAGTCTCTGGCAAGACCAAAACGTCACCCACTGAGAGTGTGCAGGGGCCAAAGGAAAGGGGGCAGGCAGGCCAGATGGATGCACCTGGCTTCGACCCAGAAACCCAACTAGCTCTAACAGCAGAGGGTATCTTCAGAGGTCAGAGGAAGACCTTAACCTGTGTTATTGGCTTCTACAGAATTCTCCCAGCCTTTGCCAAGGAGCACATAGGGTCCTGCTGGGAACAGTGAGATAATGAAAAATGAAAACAAGAATAGCTTTCATTTTCAGCACCTACTAGTAACAAGCACTAAACATTGCTACATCTATATAGTTACATGGACATAACTATCTATCACCGATCACCAAGGTAACTTAGAAATGCACTCTCTGAAAGAATTTGAATTCTAAAAAAGGTAGTTAAGACATGTATCTAAAGTGTTATTTTATTATAACAATGAATACAAGGGTGGCTCAGGAAGCTTTGTGAAACAGGTAGTCTTGATTGATGGGTAGTATTTCAATATGTAACTATGAGGCCAGGAGGTACGAAGGCATACCTAGAGGCCTCAAACCCAGCCCAGCTAGATACAGAGGGCTGCAAAGTGCTGAGGACAAAGTTAAGAAAAGTAATGAAATTTATACCTTTTTAAAAAAGATGATACCTGAGAGAAGGGTCACCTCTTACATTGCCTCATCTCGGATTACGTGGGAAAACAGGACTCTGGAATGTGACAGACTTGGTTCAAAACCCAAACCCCACCCACCCATCCACACAGCTGTGGGACCTCAGGCCAACTCTATGCTAAATCAAGCTTTAGGTTTCATATCTTGAAAATGGAGGGAATAATCTCAGAAAACAAAATGTATTGAATTTCCCGGGTACCATGCATGCATGCCATGTATGGGGAATTCTTAAAGTTTCAGGACCTTTTGCTCCTTGTTTTGAGCTTCTTGAGATCAGGGGTCCTGTCAAACGGATCTTGGTACACATTGACTGGCCCATGGTTGACATACAATTTTTTGTTGGCAAAATAAATGAATCATTTGCAACTGTCACTTACACTTAACCAAAATGTGGGTTGTGTACTTGGTAGATCCAAAGAGAGGCAAAAAATCTGATTTTTAGTTCAACTCATCTTTCTGACACTCCTCACCTTCATAGTTACATTTTGGCTTTACAAAGCCTGAAATTCTCCCTTTCCATACCCTCCCAATTTAGAAACAAATAGCTCCAAAAGCAAGACAGGTCCAATCCAAACAGGGTCATCTTATACTAGAGTTGGAAAGTCAGCACCAGAGAAAATGCAGATTCATGGAACTCAAGATTTAGCTCACAGATCACTTGGGCTGGGCAAGGTCTGGGAGGCCTGACTGAGCCCTGCTCATCCTTCAGCTCTCAGCTGAGATATTACTTCTTCCCCAAAGCTGATAGGGCCTCCCAAACTGGACAGTGCCCCTTTTGTGTGTCTCCTGGTGGTCTGAACTCAGCCATACCATTGCACGTACCACTCCTAATGATTATGCTCCATTACACGGCAAGAATGATGGCTTGACCATACCTGCCAGTGTCTCTCCCATACCCAACAGTGCTTGGCAGATGACAGCTACTCAGCATATTGCTTGGAATGAATGGGTGAATATATCAAGAAAGTGATCAAAAATGCTTTCTTTCTACTCATTTTCCTTCTGTTTAGCAATGATTTCCTATGAGTAATGAGGACATCTATCATAGCCATGGTTTTGTACACACAAGGGAAATGCAAGGAGAAAAGACTGGGGGCCTTACAGCTGTTGAGCACATCCTCTATTCCATTACTGAAATGAACTCACTTTGACAGCCTACAGACCCTGGGAGGTGTCCTTCACTTTATAGTTGACAGAATCAGGCTCAGAAAGGTTAAGTAACTTGCCTAAGGATGCAGAAACTTAAGGTGGTCAAGACAGAAAGTAAACTCAGTAGTCTTCAAAGAAAATTGAGGAAATCATGCAAAGAAGTCAAAGGCAACTTAGCAACTCAACAATAAAACATGCTGGGTTCCAAACACAGGAAACAAGCTGGAAAAGACTCCAGTGGGTTGCCTGAACAGGATCCCTAAGCCTCCTCCAGAAGTTGTGACTCAGTGTAGAGGTACCAGGTGTTATAACGAGTATTTTTTATTGTCCCTCTTAAGCAAATTAAGACTCCTGCTCTTCACTGAAAACCCACATGTTTAAGTATGGAATGTTTCAGTGGAGCTGTGGATTACCCCAGGAAGCACCAAATGGCATAGGTGTGCATGCATGCGCATAGGACAGTAGACGTGATGAATTGGAAAATCTCCCCTTGAGGGCTGCAGTCAATTTACATGTAGCTGACCACAATCTGAGAAGCAGATACTGAGATGGGAACATCATCAAAGAACAAAGAACACTGATGTCCAATATTTAAAAAGGTTCCCCAAAGCTCTCCATGGCTGTATCACTTAACAGAAGCTTCCAGGCCCTGAACTTCACTTTACTGCTCCTGGCTAATCAGCAAGAGAAAGGATGAAACTAAGCAGGCATAAGGGGTGATTCTGTCTACAGTAAACTTGGACTCGTCTGGAGGCAGACTTGACACAGCAAGAGAACAGCAAAAACAGTGAGGTGGGAGTGAGGCTGTTTTGAGGGGCTTTATTTGCTTTTTGATGGCTATGAGTTCCCAAAGTACTGAGCAAACCTGCAGTCAAATGTAAGTTTCACATACTCCAAAGTCAAACAGATGATTTGGGAATCATTCCTGGTAGTGTGGATAAGTGAGTGTTGATTAAGCATTGATGTTAAATTATGAAGCCTGGCAGTCTTTCACTTTTGTAAAGTGAGTATCATTGAGTAAGAACCATGTGGGTATTGCAATAATGAGGCTTATAAATAGGTTTAATATTCAAACAAGCTGGCTTAGAAAAAACAAAACTTGTGCTCAGCTTCTAAATTGACAGCAAGATCCTTCCCAGTTGGAAAGAAGAAGGTTTCCTGGTATATGAAGTTCAATAGCAGCAACTACACATGTACCATGAGAACTCTTCTCCTGCCTTCAGGGTTCTTGGAGGTTTCTGGGCAACAATGACTCATTCCACTCCAGATCCCATCAGATCCCATCTCCATCCTTCCCTACTGAGGTCACTACAGCTGCCAAT